TGCTCAGAGCATTGAGAGATGTTTGTCCATCCGGTGTGGCTGGAGCAGAGAGAGGGAGGTGGGGTCATGCTGCTGGGGAGCTGGAGGGGCTGACAAAGACCCAACCATACTGGGCCTAGAATCCTCAAACCCTGAGAGCAATGTGACGGGTTCAAAGAATGGGTTCCTCTGGTACTATGGCACCACAGTATCGAATGGTAACCTGCCTTTGAAGGGGGTTTGAAGAGGGGCAATATTAGATGTACCAAGAGCAGAACAGTGCAGTAACCTCAGGTGGTGGAGCTGGCAGAGAGAAGTGGATAAATTCAAGATCGGAGAGGAACTGACACGACTTGGCAATGGATTGGATGGGGGCAAAAGAATGTGATTACTGATGCCAGGATGCAGATGAGCTCACACGAAGAGAGAGTATAGAGAAATAAGAGAGACCTAGGGTTGAAACCTGGGACAGGCCAACATTTAATTCCAGGTAGAAGTGTTGAAGAGATACATAGAAGGCCATAAGAGTAGGGCATCTTGGAAGCCAAGAAAAGCAAGGGTCGCCAACACAATCGGTGGTCCTGAGGGGTTAATGCCACCGAGAGACCGCGAAAGATGAGATACCCATTGGAAGGAGAGCTAGGCATGATGATCTCTGGTGACTTCAGAGACAGCTATTTCAGTGGAGAAGTGGGGTCAGGTCGGAAGCAAGTCAATGGCTTAGCTGGAAAGAGGCAGAACCAACCACAAGATGAGCCAAGTGGACCTGTTGGTCTGTCATAGCTGCCAATGGAGGACACACCCTATTACTAGATTGGCTCAAGGCTAGAGCCTGCATGGTGGAGGGAAGTGGCTACACCCCAAACTAGGGAGGCCCCATCTTGGACCTGAACCCTATTCTGCTCCTCACTAATGGGTTGAGTAAGTGGCTTTGGGGCACTCTCAGGCCTGTGCTTCATCCCTCCCCCACCTTGGGGCCCCACAACGGGCCTGCCTGCTGAGGATGCAACACCCCAGAGAGGAGGAGGGAGCTAGGCAGAGACAAGAACCTCCAGGACCCCATTCCCAGTCTGAGGTGAGACAAATGGGATGGAAGAAAGTAGGAAACTAAGCCAGGAGACCGAGCTGAGGGCACCAAAACACAGGCAACCAAAAGATGAGAAAAAAATGCTTTGAAAGACTGTAAAATTATATTTATTCAATATATATTATGTAATATGATTTAATAGTATTTAATATATATATAGTATATAATATATATTTTGAGCATTGAAATATTCATTGTGAGAAAAATGAAAACTTTGGTGGATTTGCTCATGCCTATTATTTGCTTTGTTACTGTGTATTTGGAATCAGACATGGTGGAGGGGCGGATATCATATCCTTTCCAGGGGTTAGGGCTTCTGAGGGTCTCGGTCCTCCCTCTGGGGTTCCTGCCTCGGGCTGGGGGCTCGCACTGAAAGCCCTTTTCAGGTCCTGACAGCTGGGCCTTCTTTCTCAGAAGCCCGCCCTTCTGCTTTCATTTGCATCTCATTAGCACCTCCTCGGCTGGTGGCAGCTCAGCCGCCCGCAGCCCTGGAACGCAGGCTGCAGGCTCGCCTAGGCCCTGCTCCCTGCCCCCTCTCTGGGTGGAGATGGGTGCACGGATGCCCTCCCCCGCCCCACCAACCCCTCCACACCCCTCACCCAGGCTCCGCGGCTTGGCTCCCGCTGCGCGTTCCCATGGCAACCGGGTGATGGCGCGGGTCGCGGTGGCTCTGTCGAGGAGCCACGGGCCCCCCAACTCCCCGCCCCACCGCCCAAGCTGGATTGGTGATAGGCGGGGCCTCAATCTCCCGAGATGATCGGCGATAATTGGTTTATGGAAATAGCTGAGGGGAGAAGGCGAGCTCCCTGCCAAGCCTGCTCTCAGCCACCTGTCCTTCACCACGGAAATGGAGTCGGGGGAGGGGAGGGCCGAGGAGCTGGGCAGGGGAAATGGGGCTTTGGAGACAAGCGTTTCACCTGTTGGGCTCCAGCACCTCATCTATCCCACTTTCACTGTGTGTGTGTGTGTGTGTGTGTTGGGGAGGGGTTGTCACAGTAACCTGGGGTGTTTGCCTCAGTACTCCTTGACCCCCTAAGTGTGCTCAGGCCTATACCGGGCATATTGTTGGGGAAATGGAGAGGGAGACATGGGATCTGTCCGTGGGAGCCCCAGTTTAGGGGACAGAGGAGCAGCACATAACTTCATTTATATAAAGTACGTCAGACCAGTGTTGCCACTGCTGTCCGTCTCCAAAGGAGAGAGAGCTCAACTTGGACGGGCGCCTGGAAGAGGAGGCTCACAAACAAGGCTTTGAAAGTGGATTTTGGCAGATGTTGGCGTAGGCACCCCCCCAAAAGAAAATGTGCGCAAAGCCTGTAGGCAGGCACTGAATGCTGCTGGTATTGGTGGAGGAGGGGAGGGGTAGGTAGCTTGGTGGGGAGGCCCCAGTGGCTCCCAGTGTCTACAGAAGGGGCTAAGGGATGGCAGGCTCATGGCAGGGGATTACTGCACGGGGCTTTATAATCAAGACTGAGTAGATATCCAACATCCATACAGAAGCTTGGCTGGACGGAGACTCTGTCACCCCGATACCCTTCCAGGAGAAGTGAGGCCCATGAAGTGGGAAGTGGACATGGCATGGCAGGCCTTGCTTGGATACCGGGCTGTGAGAAGTGTGTACCCTGACTCCGGCTGGTTGGAGGGGAGCGTGCATTAAAGGATCGGAAGGAACTAGGGAAGCACCTATAATAGAAATGACAGGAGAAGTGGTGGGGGCCAAGGAGGAGGATCCTACCCCAGGACTGGGCATGGTAAGATGGGGCACTCAGAGGCTGGGAGGGCAGCCCTTAGGCCTTCTCTTTTCTTTGACCATCACCTCCCACTGAGTCCAGCCCAGGCCTCTGCATCCAGGGGCCCTGCCCCACTGAGGTCGATTTGTGGCCAAACACTGGTCAGCTGGTTGTGGGATCACGGAGTGGCTCTTCCCTCCTTCCCCAGCCCTTTGGGTGCTCATATCCCAAATATCCATACCCTGGTTTCTGCTCCAGCTTGGACACCATCCCCTGCCCTCACTCTCAGCCAGCTACTTACACTACCACATAGGGCCTTGGCTCAGAGCCATCCTTAGAGGCAGGAAGGTTGGTGGCCCCATGGAGAGTGACTGTGATGACCTCCTTATGAGAGGGAGACAGGTGGCTGATGACAGAGTCCACATTCTGGGAGGTATTCGTGGGCTCCTCTGGGCCCTCGGTGACCTGTGGGGAAAGCCAAGGCTGACCGTCTCTTCCAGTGCGTGCTCACCTCCCTTTACTGCCTCCCTATAACTCTAGCCCCCTCTCGGTTCCCCTCCGAGTGGCTGTTTCCCTCTGTCAGCCCCACAGCCAGTCTGGAACTACAGGGGCAGTCACCTTTGACCCCGTGTTCTCCCTACCTCTGTCCCACACTCCACACCTCTGTCTCCCTCTTGCTTCCTCCAGTCCTGGATCTATCACTTCCTGCAGAATGAGACAGGCCACTTCACCTTTCAAGTCCAGTCCCACCTCTAAGCCTTCGCTTTTGCTGGTATCCTTGACTGTAATTTCTAAATCCTTCCCTACTTTTGAGGTTCTAGCAATTGGTCCTCTTTGCTCCTGCAACCTCACCCCAGGCCAGCTGTCACTTCAGGTCCCTCCTGTGCCCAGCGCTTTATACTTTACAAAGCCTCTCCACATCCATGGAGTCACCCAAAGCATTAAGTAGGGATGAATGAATGTGTCTTTCCCAGGTGCCTCATCCATCGTCTACCCAGAAAGCCCCGCGGACCAGGAAGGACGAGAAGTGCCTGCCTGCACACGGGGCCTCCTAGGCTGCTTGCCCCAAGCAGACATACGTGCAGGAGCTCAACAGCTCAGCGTCTTGTGGATTCACACGCTGGAAAGCAGAACCCTGAGCCAAGGCAGCGAAGTGGGAAAGGGAGGGAGCTTACCAAGGCCCGGGGCAGGCTCAGTTTGACTCCGGAGGCAGTGGGGAATCCAGGGAGGGTAGCAGAGTCAGGGTATGGACACGGGGCTGCTGAGGTTGAGGTGTCCTGTCCTCCCTCGGCACTGGCTGCCTGGCTCTCATTCCCAGTCCCGGGGGGTTGACACAGTTGACCCAGATTAAGCCTCATCTGGCAGGAGGCCACCCCCCCCCC